GCAACATCCATGCAACAAAGTCTTCTTTCCATTTGATTAATGAATAAATAAGTTCCTGACTTGAAAAATTATACCATCGAACGTGCACACCATCTCAACGATAATGCAACCAACGGGCAATAACAACAACAAAAGTAGCAACAACAGCAACAACAAAGAAGGTATATAACAATGGGCTTTAATACAACAACAAAAACAGCAACAACAATCGCCGTATGCGCGCAACTTTACCCAAACGACACCGGCATTACCGGCATAACGAATTAAGGGTGTTGCATGCAACAGGGTCGCATCAACACCAACAGCCAACGTGCGTCAAGTGATTTACTTGCCACCACCAAAAACAAACTCCGCACTAAACTTCATACACGCACGTTCATACTTGGAGGCATACATAGACATTTGTCGCGGCATAGCGTAGCACTAAATTAGGCGGCTGTTTGTCGAGCACACGTACATACGTGGCACAAGGCGGCTGAGCATACAACGCAAGCAAGGAGGTGGCAACAGCAGCAGCAAATGGCAAACAGTAAGCAGCTACTATAGCAACGTTTGAGAGTAAGCGTACAGAGCAGGCGGCAGTTGTCAATTGAAAACGTGCCAACAATTTGCAACGACGATTAATAGTTTCCCCCTTTTTCTACTTCTTCGTCTGCTTGCCATTTCGTGCGCGTAAATGTAACAAGATTAGGTGTTGCATATTCCACGTTGTTGCACGTTCAGAAAGAGTCATCTCTGACTAACCATTTTACACGATTTGGTTATCGGCGGATGCTCTGCCTGCCATAGTAATGCGGAATTTGCTGTTGTCCTACAAATTTTCATGGAAATGAGTTTTGCTAGGGGTCAATAAGAAATAGCAATTGATAACTAAGTAGCTTTGTAGAAAAATAAGCTTTTTTAGGATAAATTTAAAAGTGGTTCTTGCTCACCACTTTATGACATGACATGTTATGGCTCGGTAACTTGACATTTTGAGACTTCTGCGTCAATTTGTGAACCCCGTCGTTACTACAGAGCAATCTCTCTCCCCTAATCGCTAACCTTGACAATATTTCCGAATTCCATTCTACATACATACATATATACCTATGTATGTATATCAGGCGGAAGCGTTGACCATGCAAGCGTCAGAGAGTAGAAAAGAAGCACTTATCATATCTGATAGTCTGGCAAAGCAACCTTTTGAAAAGTATGGAATTTTTATGACTGCAACAACTCAACGAGTAATCGAAGATCACGAAATTCTAAAATTTCGGCACCTTAATGGAAGATCGACCTATCGCGGCAGCTAGTTCGACTAACGCCCTATCTCAGAAAACTTTTCAAGAACGCCCTACTTCAGAATTTGTCTGAAGAACGCCCCGACTGAGAATTCGGTTCAAATATGCCCTATCTCAAATGAAAATGTATTGAAAATGTGATGAGATAGGGCGTTCTTCAATCAAATTCTTAAATAGTGCGTTCTTGAAAAGTTTACAAAGATAGAGCATTTTCGAACTGGCTGCCGAGATAGGCTGATCCTCCACTCAGCCATCGATTTGTGGTATATTAAAAATTCGAATTGGACAACATAAAACTGGAAAATATGTATTTGCTTTTGTTTCCATAGGATGCTGCGTCAAACAAGGCGTAGTTACAATAATTTCTTGTAAGGCACATCTGCCAGTGGACATTTGCCGAAAGCCAAGAGACATAAGAATTTTCACCCCAAAGCGTCACCATCCAAAAAGGTAGAGTAACGCAGCAAAAAAAAATAAAAAATAGCCAAGCATTCTAGCAGCACTCAATAGCGCCAACTTATATTTGCAGTCTAATTTTTTTATTTTATTTTTTGGTCCATCATATCGCCAATTCTATTGTTGAATTTAGTTGTTATTGTTATTGTTGGCATTCTTATTTTCGCATATTTAATTTGTGTGCTCTTAATTTGTTGACTTTTATTGTTATTTATCGCGCTGCCAAAGGAGATGCCAAAATGCCGTGGGTGTACCGTTCACATTGTCTGCCTTTTAGGAGGAGTGTGTATGCGCATACGTATGTACTTATGTATGAAATTGAGTGTACACTCCCATAATTTGGCATTTACAATTCCCGTTTTTATTCATTTTTAAGGAGATTTTAATGTGCGGTGCATTTATGGCTGCTCGCCATTGCTGTTGAGCTGTTGAAAATTAATAAATTTCCAGCTACTTGTCTGTGCACAAATATTTTACTTCGCCTGGGAGTTGGGTGGCTCTTAAGTTGCGCAAGTGCCTTAGTCTTAATTTATTGAGCAGCTAATAAAAGTGGAGATTTTATGAGTTTACGCATTTTGTATGGCAAACATCGACGCTACTAGGCAGCTGTGAAGCAGGAAATTAGATTTTAATGCAAAAAAAGTCACATTTCGTTCATTGGTAAACAGCTATGTTTTTGATAAGATTTTATACAAATATTTTAAAATTTTTGAGAATGCTAATTAAAATTAAAACTTGGATTTTCTTGGAAATTAAAAAGTAGAATTGCTGCCTTAAAAAAACAAATTTTTGTAGACATAACAGCGATAGAATAAATTGGAGTTTTTTATATTCTATAACACGCCATAGTCAGACAGTTAAATCACCGCATAACTTGTGACTTGGATATATGTGTATGATTTAGAAAAGAAAAATCAATCGGCGGTACCGATCTTTCAAAATAAGAAGAAAATAAAAAAGAATCTGTGTGGCTGCCACTCGCGACTTAGTGAAAATTCTTACTATGACCCTATTTTTCTACATAATAACGAACAGTTATACAAATGCTAATCTTAATCCTAATCTTAATCTTAAATTTAATCTCAATCTCAGTCTTAAGCTTAATCTTAGTCTTAGGCTTACTCTTAACCTTAATTTAAATCTAAATGTGAATCTGAATCTGAACCTTAATCTTTAACTTAATCTTAATGTTAATATTGATTTTAGTCTTAATCTTAATTTCTATCATAATCTTAATCTAAGTGTCAATTTTAATCATAATCATAATCTTAATATTACTATTAATATCAACGTTAAGCTTAATCTCACTCTAAATCTAAGTTTTAATATTAATCTTAATCTTAATATTAATCTTTATCTTAGTTTTAGTTTTAATATTAATTTAATCTTAATCTTCACCTTAATCATAACCTTAATCTTTGTCTTCATCTTATTCTAAATCTTAATCTTAATTTTAATCCAGCTATATTCTTAATCTTAATCTTAACCCTAAACTTAATTTTAATTCTAATCTTGATCTTAATCCTAAACTTAATCCTAGTTATAGTCTTAGTCGTAATCGTAATATTAATTTGAACCTTAACCTTAATTTAAATCGTAATCTAAATCTGAATCTGAATCTGAATATTATATTTAACCTTAATCTGACTTTTAGGGCCAGTTTTTCAGTGCACGGCCTGGGTTTTAACTAAGTTTAAATGCCCGATCTGGCTGGATTAAGCTAAGATCAGCCAATCAAATGACAGCCAGCTGTTCAATTTAAACTCAGTTTACTTAAGCTAAGTTTAAACTGGCACCGACAAACTGGCCCTTAGTCGTAATCTTAATACTAATATTAATCCTGATCTTAATTTTAGTCTTAACTGGGGGAAAATGCTCCACCAATTGGTTCGAGCTTACGCAAAAATAATGAATTCATTTTTACCGACAAAATTTGTTTTTGTTAATCTAGTATCCAGACGTTTTTAGTGTCCCTGTATTGAGTTTCCCTATCAGTTAGCATTTTTAATTTGATTTATTAGAATCAAGATAAAAATTTAACCAATTCCATCTATAAAGTTTTGCAAATATACAATTATTTTAGGAATAGTCGCGCTGATTAAAATTTCAGAGACAAACGCAACAATTTCGTTGCGATACGATAAAATATAAAATACTATTTGCAATAAGTTGCGCTGCCATTGAGCAAGACCTAGCCAATTGTATTCGCAACGGCCGTGCTGTGGAGGCCTAGACACTCCACGCATTTGGCACGTAAACAACACTCTCGACCGTCCGTCCGCACCCACCTGTACTGATCCGCTCAACGGACTAAGTGCGCGACCGTTGCTTGGCACCACCCGCTGTTGCCTTTTANGGCACGTAAACAACACTCTCGACCGTCCGTCCGCACCCACCTGTACTGATCCGCTCAACGGGCTAAGTGCGCGACCGTTGCTTGGCACCACCCGCTGTTGCCTTTTTTTTGCTTGTTGTTTATAAACAAAATCACCTGGCAGGGCTTATGCTTTTCAAATATTTTCAATTATTCTCTGTATTTTTCTACACTGTTTGTCAGTGGGCATTTTACTTCATTTTATTTTTCTCTGCCTGCCACATTCCTGACTGGTTCATTTGTCGAAAGCGATGACAGAAAAATATTGAAAAAATATTTGTTTGCCTCTGCATAAAGATAAATACAAAAATATATTTACAGCTGCAAAAATTTGCAGTGCAATCAAAGAGATTCGAAAGGAACAACATCGACGCTGGGCCATATAAACGGAAAATCTGTAACATTTACACGAAAGGAAAGCGAAGCAAAAAAAAAATAAAAACCAGGTAGAATAGTAGAACCGAATTGCATAATTGAACGCAATTGCTAGTTGAGGTGCNTTCTACACTGTTTGTCAGTGGGCATTTTACTTCATTTTATTTTTCTCTGCGTGCCACATTCCTGACTGGTTCATTTGTCGAAAGCGATGACAGAAAAATATTGAAAAAATATTTGTTTGCCTCTGCATAAAGACAAATATAAAAATATATTTACAGCTGCAAAAATTTGCAGTGCAATCAAAGAGATTCGAAAGGAACAACACCGGCGCTGGGCCATATAAACGGAAAATCTGTTACATTTACACGAAAGGAAAGCGAAGCAAAAAAAAAATAAAAACCAGGCAGAATAGTAGAACCGAATTGCATAATTGAACGCAATTGCTAGTTGAGGTGTAAAGGATATTCGTGGAACTGTAGTTGTATTTAGTTGTTGTTCAACCCTACGCCATGAAGAAGGTTATACGACCAGAGATGCGGCCTTACTGCGAGCAGCCGCGCAAGCCAAAACGCATTACGAATGTGAAAAGCGGCGAGGCAAGCAAACGCAGAACGAAAGTGTCCAGTACACCAGTGCGGCGCAACATTGTCGACTGCCCCTTCTATACGTTCAAATATAAATTCGATGATTTGCCCCTAGATCCCGCAAAGGCGTANCGAAAGTGTCCAGTACACCAGTGCGGCGCAACATTGTCGACTGCCCCTTCTATACGTTCAAATATAAATTCGACGATTTGCCCCTAGATCCCGCAAAGGCGTACATCGAAGAGAAGATAGGTAAATGGGAAAACATTCAAAAGCACTGCTTGTTTGACTTTCTGATTTTTTATTNACATCGAAGAGAAGATAGGTAAATGGGAAAACATTCAAAAGCACTGCTTGCATGACTTTCTGATTTTTTATGTGCAGCGCATATGCAAGTCGACCAAATTGTGGGACGTTGCAATAAGGAATTGGATTTCCATTTATATCAAATGGAACCCCTCAAATGGGAGTTAGAGGAGTGCGATGATGAAGGTATTCAAGAGTTGAAACTCGAGGATATTGTGATGCCACAAAAATTCGAAATGCTTAAAGACAAAAAGGAGCACAAGTATTCGTTCAATGCGAGAGGTGAGTAAGCGTCTAGGGGACGGTTGTTTTAATGATGCTTTTTAGCTGCAATTTTTTTGCTTATTATGCAATCAAAAATTATGAAAACTAATTTTTTGAATGAACCATAAAAACGGTGGGTATGAGTGTGGTGTTACAGATAACCTAAATTAATAAATAAGAAAAGGTATGAAATTTCAGCAGCGGTAGGGAGAAAAGAGATTGCAATTTTGTCTAGGATTTAAAACTCTTAAGGCAGCTTTAGACGGATCGATTTCTGTCGACTGGAAAATCGGTTTTACGGTTGAATTGCCATTTACACGGGTCGATTTTGGTTGAACGACAAAAGTCGATTAAATAATGAGTTACAAAGACGAACTATATATCTGACCAAAGTCTTAAATCATGGACGCTAGCACCGGCAGCCAGGCAGGCAATAAAGTAGGAATGGAACGCATGTCGATGGGGCCTGGCCAATGCAGGACAGTATGTATAACAAATCAATGGAACGACCGAAATTTGTATTTGGCCATAGATCACGCCTGCAGCATTTCCTAAAATCTCCTTTTATATTTTTACAACAACAAAAAAATTGTGCTTGCAAGAAATCAAAGTTTAAGTTCACTACCTGTCGGTAGAATAGAGTATTTATGCACACAAGTTTGTTTTAGTTGGTCACGATTATGCCTTGTTTGATCCGGCTTCGACCGAAACAACCTGAAGAGACGACCGAAAATTCTATTACAAAATTGGGCGAATTGCTATAGGACCGGTGATTTTATTGACCCTTGGAAGATTGCTTCTATTACTTCGATTTTCCAATCGGGTAATAAGAATGATGGTGGAAACTTCAGGCCCATATCTAAACGCACCACATATTCAAAGCTTTTCGAAAAAGCCGTGAAAGAAAAACTATTATTCACTGCTAAAGACATTATCATCCTAAGCTTGAATCCAATTCCTTCATGCGGTGCTGAGTTTTCATTACCACGAGAATCCCATAAGTTAGGTCATGTCAGCTGACGCGGACTACGGTTTTACGTCGGTGGCTGGTTGAGCCATTAGTTGGTCATCAAACGTGCGGATGTGAAGCTATGGGTCTTCTGAATGAAATCGTCTTTCCCTAATAACATCAAATTGTTTTTCTTTCAAATAAAGCCATAAAAACCCCCTATTAAAAGGATTGTATCAATAACATTTGCACATTAAATTTTAAATAGTTTTTATAAGCGTAAAAGGTTTTAGTTCAAAACATTAAATGACAAAAAGTGTTTTCAACTGAGTCAACATGTGACACAATCTCTACGGAATTGAAGACATTAAAATTATCGGTTGCGATAACACACATTCGCATGCCATGCGGCAAACAAGCGAAAAAAAAGAAAAAAAGATATGTACTTAAGTTTCTACACTACATAGAAATTCATGGGCCATAAAATTTCTATTTACTGCTGTGCTACGTTGTCTACAAAACAGCAGTTCTAACAAATTTTTCGCTTTCAATTTTCGGCTTTTCTCCAGCGCATATTTTGTGCACTTAGTTTTAAATAATTTATGTGGTCACACAAAGCATTGGAAATGGCATTAAATACATGCGAGAGTGTATGAAAAGCTGCTTTGGGATGTGAAGGTGTGGAGGTATTTATATGTATGTACATACATGCATACATATGTATATGCGTATACAAGAATTTTAACAAAATGAAGCGCCTATTACTTTCACTTTACTCCCAGTGTATGCAAATCGATAAAGGCATTTACATAAAAATGTTATTTCAACTTGCCAGTGGCCATAATGGTGCCCGTCGAGGCACTCACTACTAGTTATTTTTGGTATTAGCAGCAGCCTTGGTATGTCCAAAAATATGCCCGAAATGGCCTTTGGGAATTTTTAAAACTTTGCGTGGCTTTTTTCGGAGCAGATATAACACACACACACATACAGTGGTGACCATACAAATAAAAACAATATACCGATTAGGCGAAATTTTTTTGACTGCTGGTTTCCATACTCTGTGATATTCTTATTTACCTCGGTTATTCCATACAAAAAAAAAATAAAATATCGGTACTTTCTTTCATCGGAATTATAAAATTCATTATAATGCTTTACCTTAAAAAATTGATTTTTAATAAATTTATTTAAAAAAAAATGTGTTTTCCACAAATTATCCCAGAAAAAATCTGCAAATTTTTTTTGATATCATCAACGAAATCAAAATAGTGAGATTTTTGGAGGTATCGGTCATCGTACAGTTCCATAAGTAAAGTAACTCTTCTTCTTACCGTTTTTTCTGGCAGGCTGTAGGTGTGTTTTTGGCAGGCTGTAGGTGTGTTTTTGGTTATTGTATTGGTGTTTTTGGTTCAGTGTGTTAGTGTATTTTGAATAAATTGTGATAGAAATAAATGAAATTGTAATAGAAATGAAAGAAATTGTAAAAGGTAAGAGCACATGCCAAAAAACAGGTGATCTCAGCTGTAGGCATATTTTGGCAATCAGCTGATAGTGTTTTTACTTATGAAACTGTACGATGGTATCGGTCCCGCTCACCTAAATGTAAATGTTTTATAATGTAATAAGTTTATAATTCCCGTAAAAACCCGCAACTTTTTTAGTAAAATATATCGACGAACATACTTACTAGTGCTGCTAGTTAAACGACCACCACTGTATTACTAGGAGGGGACTGGCACATACCGATAACAAGAACAGTTTTATATTGCCACTCGTACTGGTCTTTGCTATTTCTGAGCACAAAAATTAAAATTCTAACGGCATTAGGAACAGTCATTGTAGTAGTGAATGTGGGTGGACGAGTGCTTATCACGCATGTTTTTAAATTCCCAACTGTAAACTAGCACATTGTGAATATACATATGTACATACATACATAATCGCTCCAACTGTATTAGCGACTTGCATTGCCGAATCAGTGTGAAAGTAATTGCGAGGCATGGCAAACGTTTTTCATCAGCTCTGATAATAATTACATAATTATGAAACTTGTGACTCTGTTGAGGTAATCTTAGCTGTAGTAGTAGAAATAACTGAGAAGGTGCACTGCAGCCTTAGGTCTTTTAGGCCCTTAATACTCATCACAAGGCCCCGTCTAGTCCTAAAGCCTCTATGATATCCACTAGTTTCAGAGAGAGCATTGTGTGAAGCTGTCTCAAATGTGTTGTTCGTCTTTTAGCGATACTTTCCGACTTACTTCAGAAGCGACAAGAGTCGTCTGAGCTAACACCATCGTCACCAGCTCGACTTTTGGAGGGTGATTGATTTCTAAATTTCATGGAGTTTAAATATTGGTTGGTGGTCTTAAATATTCGCTGATGGTATGTTGTTCTATAGCACGGAAAGTAATACATATTGGTCGGGTACCTGCTACTTATCTTGCTAGTCTGTCAATTCCCTCGTTACCGTTTATAACTTCATGGCCCGCCGTACCGTTTTGTGTTCGTCTTTGTTGGTCGTTTAATCAAAGATGACGACACTTAATAGCCCAATGCTATAGGCAAAGTGCAAATTTTAAGACAATTTATCAAAAATAGCATATTCGAGTCCCGAAATTTTCGGAGTGTATTAATATTTGATATTCTATGAACTTAGTCAACCAAAGTTCATAATTTATACATATTCAAAACATAAATACATATACATCATAAATATATACATATTCCAAACACACACACAGTTTCTATAATTTTTCTATGCATAAATTTTTTTATTATGATGCCACATTTTCGAACATTTTTCCACTTTTAAATCGAATTTAAAAGGTATTTTCAAAGCAATTGTTTTTTTTATTTCAGCTTGCAATCAATTTCCGTGGATTACAAAATGCTGGGAAAATAGTAAGTATCTTGCAAAATATTTTTTTTGTTCTTATATTGTTTAAAATAAAATAGTGTTGTTTCTTAAGCTCTGGTATAAAACAGATTAAATAAGGTTTGTATATCTGGGGACTACTTACCTTTAAAATTGCGAGGAATACATAACTACATACATAATTCTTGATACATATATGTATATGTATGTATGTACTTTCGTACATACACCCATCAGAAAAAGTTTCAGTACAGAAATTTGTTTTTTTTTATATTCAAAATATTTTTTATATAAAAAAATTTTTCAATACTTTTCAAACTTTTCTGAAATTTAGAAAACTTTCCAATTTTAGCATTATAATGTGCTGCTTTGAAGCTGCTAAAAGCGACAGTTCCTTTTCTATCTTTTTGTTTTTTTTTTGCTGACGCTCACGCATTTTCATCGATATAGTGTGCGAAAGAATTTTTATATGGAAGGAAATGCAAAATTTAGACAAAAATGTTTGCAAATTTTTCTAAATTTTAGACTAAATTTGAAACCTATAATTTAGTGGTTTGTTTTATAGAAAAAATATATATTTTTATAAAAAATTACCGAAATTTTTTTAATGAAAAATATGAATATTGTAAAAAATCGATGCATAGAAACTTTTTCCAGTAGGTGCATGTGTTATTTAAAATCGATTTACGAACGATATATATTGAAAGCGCAACGATGATTAGCAATCGAACTCAGCTCCTTTCTTCACTACTAACTTTTCAAATGCCTTTTATTTTTAAAAACACTTTGCACTTAGCGGCACACATTTGTTTCTTTTGACAAATGATTTTATTTTATTTTATCACAAAAGATTCCACTTGAGAAATTTAATTTATTTTAGTTTTAATTTACACTCACATATTTTTGATGCACTTTTACCGAACGCGAAACCGATCAACCAAAACCGAGAACATTCAATCAACCACTGAGGACCGCATCGATCGTAGCAAGCTGGGTGAATGCAAAAATGCAGTCGAAGTGCAGAGTATGTACCTATGTATGTAACAAGAGTTCATCTACACTTGCGGCTTCTTCATTTATTCAATGCACATTCATGGGCTGTCAAACTGTTTGGATTATTTCTTGTCTCTGTAGCAGCGTTGCCGTTTTATAATTTTCGAGCGGAGTGAAATGAGCCAAAAAGTGGAGGGTTTTTGGGTTTTTCGTAGTGTCAAGGTAAAAACGTTAGCCAAACTACGTCGAACTCATGTGTATTATAAACATACACCTGACTGCATACATATATATATGTATCTGCGTGCAGCTATTCTTTTTTAAATATTAACAAGCGAAACATTTTTTGTTATTTTTTACAAAAATATGTTTCATGCTATAAAAAAAGCTATATACTTAAATCAATGTTTCAAACTCTATACATAATTAAGGAAAGTTCGACGAATTTTCATCAAAACTTTAAACTTTTTATAGCCCATTCAATTTTAGTATAATAATATGTAAAGGGCGGCCGCTGTGGTGTAATACATAGTTAGCAGTTCTCACTACCACTCCTCAGGGCCTGGGCTCAAGCGCTGGTCAAAGCAACATCACAAAAAAATATAGCAAAAAAAAAATTTCTTAACAGAAGCCGTCCCTGACGGTTCTACGCATTTTTCTCCTTATGTAGAAAGAATGGGTGAAATTTTTTTATATGGGAGAAGGTTTATTTTCTTTTTCTATGGCCATATCATTGCCTTTTTATAATCCGACAACATTGGCTAAGAATTTTTCACCTTTGTATACATTGCAAATTACATTTTTTTTCTGCAAATAGGTTACCTACAAACGTTGAATATGGTCATTCATATTCATTTCATAAATATTTAATTCTGGTAATCTAAAAAACGAAGTTTTTTTTTAAGAGGAGTGGCGTAGTGTTCGGCTTAAAAAGGGAGTGAAACATTCCGATCGGAGTGAAAACAGCAACGCTGCTCAGTACAAACAGCATACATATTTAACATTGCTCGATCAGCCAAATAGTAGGCTTCGATTTTTGATGCTGACGCTGGTGTGTGTAGAAATGAATTTTTGTACCTACCCTGCAGCAAATCCAACTAGTATAGAACTAGCGCCAAACTAGCTTGAAAAGGGACAGTACTGAGTCTTAATCTATCCCAAATCAATGCTTTCAACTGTATTTTTTAACCTGGCGATGTCCTACGAAGTGGCAATAGCCCCCTCTGCTGATCTTTGGAACTCGTACTGAACTGGTTTTTTTTTAAGCTTTTTATGAAACAAAAATTGTGATTATTCGATTTTTTTTCTATTTCATTTAATTTTTATTTATATTTTTTTATTCTAAGTTTGATTATTTTCTCTTAAATGTTTGAGCGGCACGTAACAGCTTAAATTTATTAAATCTGAAAATCACAACAACAAAAATTAAAGACGAATTCGATAATTTAGCTTTTTACAGAAAAAATCGCCGAACTTGATACACATGTCCACAGATGATCGCTAGCATAACTTAATTACCTGCTTTCAATTATCTAAAACATCTATTATCTATTACAGTGGAACCCAGTGAAGAGATGGTATATCGCGTTACCAGCGAATTACTTCAGATTTATTGCGCTCGGCGTGTACGCATTTTCTACCCCGATATGCGCACCAAAAGTCAACTGTATACGAACGAATTGAGCAAAATGCATGGCAGTCCCTCAGATGCTATAGGTAATAAATATAGTAGATATGTAGGCTTAAGTTTCTGAAGAAAAAAATGTGTACCTTACAGGCAGCCTACACACACTTGCTGCAAGGCATCTACGCATTGAGGCCTTAAAACGTCCACGCAAGTCACTCATATTCACACCTGGCGATCACTATGCGCTGCGCACGCCTGAAGGTATGCAACAAAATACCCAAACAAAGAACCAACTATTAAGCAAAGTATTGCGCTGCTAAACAAAATACATAAATTACATAATTCGCTGGCAAACGGTGTAGTAAAATGCCTTTATTCGCTTGTGCTCTCACAAAAGCTACTTAGACACTTTTATACTTTTGCATTTTTCATGCGAAACTTTTTCAACTGCTGCAGCTATGTACTTCTGCTGAAAGAAACACTTGTATGTCTGATTCCTTTTAATTTCTATGCCAATACACACCTAAATATAAGTATATGTATGTATGTATAAATTTGTTGCATGTGGCACGCGTTGCAGAATGCCGGAACGAGCTAATACGCATGGGTAAAGTTATAGACAAATTAATAGAGCCAACATTGCGACGTGCCAGAGAGAACTTAAAACGACAGGCCGAAGGTGATGCTGCTACCATGGCGCCAGCAAAAACAACAACAACAACTAAAGCAGGCGCAATACCTAAGAAAACGTCCAGTGCAATTGAGCGAGGAGCCGGAGGAGTTGTATGCACCGAAAAGAAAACGAAACGCGGTGTAAAACAGGTGGGTTGTGAATGGGAGAAGACGTACAAATATTTGCTGTTAGCAAAAGGTAAAGCAAACACAGAACAAAGCGGCAGCAGCAGGAGATAGCTGCTTTGAAAGTGTTGAAGTTATAAGTCGGTTGGCATGCAAAAAAAACAAAAAGAAGAAGGAAAGTAAGAAAGGAAAACGAGAGAAAAAAGTGCAAATAACTGAACAATAAAGAAAGTTAAGAAAATAGACAAAGGTTGAAAGTTGGTAGCACTGACTGTCACGCACTCGCCTTTCCACGCTGCTGTTAAGTTATTGTTTTCTTCTTCTTTTTCTTGTTTTTTACATAACTGTATAAGTGAACTTTTTTAATTCAATGTTTTTTTTTTCTACTATTATTCCATGTCCACCCGCATAGCCGAAGAAGCATCCTTGTAACCGCCACGATATGCTACTACACCCCAAAGATTTTCCCACCTTCGAGGACTATATGAAATGCATGAAGCACTATGAGCGTCAGTAAGTAAAAACTCAAACAAAGCCTGCACGAAAATTGTATGAAAACCCTAGTTAAAAAAAAAAAAAAAATAAAATAAAATGGCCGCATAAAATAGCCGCAAACCATTTGTGTGCGGCAAACCTTATGAAAAGATGTGTTGCAAGCCACATGCATAACTTGTTTTGCAGCTTAGGCCCGCAGCAATGATGCATCCACCACATACAAGTACCTACATAAACACAATTGCGTAGATTGTATAGCATGCATTTACATATGTTTGTGTGTTTGCAGATTTGCTTATGCGTTTATGCTTAGTGCTACACTAGGTTGCATGTGCAACGTTACCTTGGTTAAGCTCTTAATTAATGCAATGCTTGTTAGTGCATATGCCACCCGGGTACCCAAAGGCAACTGTCATGTAAAAGCTGAGCACTGAACAACATCATACTAGCAAGTCAAGGCTCATTAAAATAAATTAACAAGATTTTATGCGTCCATTTAAAAGTGTAGTTTTTTTGTATGTATCTTTTCTGCCACGCTTATCATATGCATAGCCAGACAACACTTGTGTACAGCTGCACTTGTTGTTCATTTATAACCTTCAATTTAAAATGTATGAACATATACTTATAAGTACTATACATATCTTTATGCACATGTGAATGATACGAAATTTACTTTGTTTGTTGTTATTTGTTTTCACAGAAGATTTAGGTATCTCGAAGGCCTACCTCCCGTCGATCCGGAGGCCCAAAAAGCTATTATACTCGCACGTTACCAACAGCAATTACAGGCGGCTCTAGAAAAATTTACACCGAAAATAGAAACGAGATACAAATATCTTATGAAAAGCGTAAGTATGTATATATGTACATATGTATATGAAAAACAAATTCTCAACTAAATGAAACAAATTCTCTCTTGAACTACATACTTGCACCCCGATGCGCTTGATAAGGCACATTATTTTTCTTCGAGAAGAGATGCTTGGAGTCATGAAGCGTCTCTGCCGACGCCGAGCATTCGTTTAACACATTTTCATTTATTCTGCTCAGGTATGAGCTCAACCTGCTGCAGTAACCAGAGCGCAGTTGGGTTATTGTGGTCCGAGTCTCCCGAGGCAGACTCTCTGTTAATGCCGTTCAAGGCCTGTCGATGCAGACATTGTTTGATGAACCTCTGGACTTCGTCCGTCATTTCGTAGAGATGCCTTCTGACGTGTCTTGGCGAGGGCTCTTCTGCAAGCAGTTGTCTATTTGGGTGACCACGTCTGTAGCTCCCAACTAGAAACTGCTTGCAGAGCATTGTGTTATGCTCCTTAATAGGATGCATATGGGCCTCATCGTGCAGCTGATGTTGCGGCGACTTCATAAGATATCCTGACGCTGTCCTGAGTGCCATATTTTAGCAAGTCTGCAGGTCTTCATCCACTGCGTCCTACTAGTCCCCGGCGACCACACAGGCTATGCATAGTTCAGAACCGGTCGGCCAATTGCCTTATACGTTGCCAACAACGTTTCTTTGTATTTACGCCAGGTGCTGCCGGCTAGCGACTTGAGGACATTGTTGCGGCTTTGTACTTTATTGACAATCGATGTGGATACCCAGTTGCAGTCTGACCTCCTTCAACATAATAGTTGAAGTCTATGGTCGAAATATGAACGAGTTCACACGCAATGAAAATTCATGATAAGGCTGAGCAAAAGTTTTATTTCAAATGTAATAGCTAAAAATTATTTTAATTTATGCAACTCACCTTCTTTTAGTTGTTTATAAGTTCGATTTGGAGGGGGATTAAATCCGACTTGCGAACGTACGAGCGAATTTATCGCCAAGTGTTGTGGCAGCCGCTGTGGTGTAATAGGAAAGCAGTGCGCGCTTCCGCTCCGCAGGGCCTGGGTTCAAGCCCAATTTCCAACCAACATCAAAAAATAAAACATAAAACAGTTTCTTCTAATAGCGGTATCTCTGGCATTGTGCAAGCGCCATTCTATTATTATTACTATTATTATTATTATTATTATTCTATTGTACGTTCAAATAAACTATAGCAAAAGTTTTTTCCTCGGACATATCCTATTTCAAATATTTAACAGGCTTTAACTTATCTATGTTACTTATTCAAGATGGAAAAAATAAATACCCATTTAATTCAACATATCCAGTTCCCACTGTACATGTTTCAGAACAAAGTTAGACATTGAATGCAGTCAAAAAAATATGCTTGAATAGCTTGGCACCTGAATGGCTGCCTTTTCTAATTTAGTTGGTAGTTGATGATTTGCAAACTAAAGAAGAAAAAACTAGAAAACCACTTTTTTTTTGTTGCGTGCCTGTTGAAGGCCGATAAATGCCTAGAAATTTATGTATGTGCATCTCCAGCTTGCAGTACTTCTAAGTACAATCTGCACATATTTATGTATGTACGAGCATATTTAGAAATTTCTTATGGGTACAACGATAAGTTGAAGTTTCTAACTGGAAGCATGTTAAAGTAAAGTTTGCCTAGTCAGGTTGTTAATTAGTAAAATGCAATTTCTGCTGAACTGAACGCCAGAATAAAAAATGTTCTAAAGAAATAAAACAAATAATTTTTAAGCAAAAAACAAAACCGACTTCAATTCTCATATAAAAATTTAACAGCACCGTTAATGCCTTCATGATCCAATGATCGTATCCAAACCAAATGGGACCACCTCGGAGGGATCACCCTTCCTTGAATAAAAGGAATTATAGAAACCGGCTAACGTGGTCCAAAGTTATGCGGTAACATACATAAAAAATAAAAATAAAAAATATATATTCCGACGAACTGATAACCTTCTCCTTTTTATGAAGTCGGTTAAAAAATGAATGGGCTACAAAACTGCATATCCGAAATTTTTCTAAAAATATTTTTATTTTGGTTGAGATTTTTTTTTGAATTTGCATAAAATTTTAAAATTGGATTTACACATAGAATATGCTACATTAAAAAAAATAATGAATATTAAATAAACAAAAGGAAATGAGCAGCGTATAATCCCTGTGCTAGACTCAAGAGCAGAGTAATCAACTGTAGGTAAAGGTTCCGTGAATGCCATCTCTCTTCAGGGATTTACTGATGGATTCTGTCTCGATGTTGTTGACAGCGTCATCAACGTCCAAGGAGCTATTTAGGATACCAACCACTTAATGAAGCTCGACAGACCTGCTTCAGTAGTAAATAGCATCAATAATACAGTTCAAGTTCTACGCGAAAACTCTTCTCACGAAAATCACGAGCCATCTTGAGGCGGCATAAAGTTTCTGTAATTCATAGCAAATAATAAATTGCCCAAGTAAAATAAATTTCAACAAGCATTTATTTTATGACGGGTTGAAATAATTTTTACTGCACTTTTCAATTGCTCGTAATTCACAAAAGAAGAGGCACTAAAAATACGAATGGGTAGGAGCACAGAATAAACAGTATACAGAAGACGCACCACATACAAATTTATTTTTCTTCGGCGGACGTAATATTACAACCCGGACCAGAGCAGAGAAGTTAACATCACGACCACTATGAACAACATGGCGACCCGGAACAGAGCAGAGGAGTTAACATCACGTCCACTATGAAAAACATGAAGTTAACATCTCGCCACAAACACACATCGTGATCAGCGTTGCCGCAAGCTTGAAAAAAATGTATTAGTAGCCAAGCAGAAGAAGTTTCAAAGGCAAACAAAACTGTGGTTTGTTAAACTATTATTTTAAAAACAAATAATGAATCACATTTTATAATTAAATCCATAGTTATTTAAAAAAATTTATATTTATTGCTTCTGTCTGCTTATTTCCATGACGAAAAACAAACTTATAGAGCCCCTAAACCACACAAAAGCCTTGCGCAACCCGAGACTTTTACAAGTAAATATTGTGGAAATTACAACAGCATAAAATTGCGCAAACCTTATTTTAAAGAAGCGCTGCTCAAGTAAATATGTGCAAGAAATGTGAATGTGCGTTGTATATTTTGATAGCTTCAGCTTTAAAACGTAAAAAAAAAAAATAAATTAAAAAAAATAATTTTTTTCTACGATTTTATCCATATTTTACAGCACGATCTGGACACCAAAATCAAAACTAGACTAAAAGTTTCGCAGTTGTCGCCATACGCAGCACAAATTATTGTACAATAACACTAGCATGAGCAAAATATCAAAATAATTTTTATTTTAGCGCAATAATTGTGCAATTTAGTACAAACGACCCCATACACCACACAAACGACCGACGCAAGCCCGATATAGCGTAATATTTTTGTGTGGTTTAGGGGCCCTATAACAGCGGCGTGTGCAAAGAAGTTCCGGGTCGTGTTTCCCTTATAAGAGTTACCAAAGCAAACTTATAAATATCTATATATAAATTTTGAGATTTTAAATAACAAGAAAAAAAAATTGCCTTTAGACTAGTAATACTATTCATAGTTTTCAAAAATTCATTTCTGCCAGCCGAAAGTATCAAAATACGGCATTTGGGAACAAAAAAGTATCAGATATTACAATTTAGAAAAAAAAGTATTAAAAATTATACAATTGTATCAAAACGGCAACGCTGATCGTGATGGAAACCGAAGTTAGTTAACATCTTGTCGTTATAGCGACGATGGAATTAACAGCGTCAGCCGAGTGAAAATACTGCTACAGTAACAGAGGCAGCGCCGCTTGTGATACCCTTGCTTGCCTCACCGCTCGTGACATAAATTCAAATTGGTTCGATAGTCGACATGCGTCTTCTGTATACTGTTTATTCTGTGGTAGGAGGTACATAATTTTCAGAACAGAAATTACTTTATTCAAATGATTCATTGCTTTAAGCGCTTTGGGATTTATGTTGCAAACATAGAATTTAAAATTGCATGAGATTTAATATTTAATGCAGTGAATTGGGTAAATGCTTACATATGCTTGTACATACATACCTACATACATACTAGCGATTTATTTATAAGAATTAAGTAAATGAGTAAACGAAACTGAAAAAAAAAATAAAAGTGAAACAATAAAAACCACTTTGCACGCATCATCAGCACTCAGCAACCTGGTTGGTGGCTTGGATTAAATGAAATGGTTTGAGCAGAGCAGCTGATTGTCGGTTTTTGGTTTATGTATATCTCGTAAAAATGTTTACGAGCTAATATAAAAGAAATTAACTTGACGCCAACAATTTATGTGTGTTTAAAGTTTAAGTAAAATGAAAATGTCTCACTTACACATACAGACTATATAGTATTTGAATGTCAGTGTGTGTGTGTGTGTGTATGCGCGCAGGAAGGTACTTCGACCTTTTGGTGCTCAAAAGTAGGCAACTCTTTTTTCTACTAGTTTTTATGGGGTACACTCAAATTTAGTAGTATTTTTTACAATTTATAAGCACTTCTTACTACAAATTGGCACGCGAGAATTGTAGCATTTTTTCATGATGTGACCTTGCGCATAGCTTACGAAATTTTTTTATGAGAAACTTTGCTTAATTTTGAACTATGCACTTAGCCTGTTTTTTTTTTAGTTTTTATCTTGTCAACTTTAAGAACCTGAATGAGCAAAAAATTACGCCTTTTTAGTTTAAACCTTTAATCTATGTTTTACAAACTTACACATAGTTTACAAAGCAACACACTTCTTAAAATGTTGTTCTTTTTATAGAAAACAGATTTCTACACATAAAATAGCATCCCCAATTTAAATTTTGTCCATTTGCCTTTTTTTTTTAAATCCAATATGTATGTATGTACATGAGCTCATCAATCCTCTAGCGCTACTTAATCAAACTTTTTCCTTTAAAAATTTTATCATCGTATTTTGTATTATTTTTAATTTTTTGTTT